TATGAAGAACCTTGGGGATTGTTCTACATGACTTAAGTGTAGAATGATGGGTTGGAAGGTGGTTCTATGTCCAAAAACGGACTTAGGGGCCAACCCGACAAGTTCACCGGAAAATAACCTTTTATAGGTTATTTGTATTGATTAAGGTTTTATGATGTTAAAACCTTGTTAGGAACTTGATTAAAGTATTTTTGAGCTTCGCCGGAGTTTTGCCGGAGTTGGTCAACGTTCGCCGGAGTTGGTCAAAGTTCACCGGAAATTAGTCAAAGTTCAACCGGGGGAGCGTAGATCGCGCTTAAGCTCACTTAAGGTGAGGATGACCGACTATATTGCTTATAATTATTGGGTTAATTTCATAAGATTTCCTAAATGAATTATATGTGTTTGGCATGATTTATTAATAATTAAAAATGCCTAAACGAGATCATTATTGTTTATAAGCAAAAATGCATAATATACAAATTTATGAATAAATTGTGTATGATTATGTATTATGAATACAATGGCATAATAGTTGTATAAACTACAAATTAAATGGTGATAAATATACTTTTACCTCATGTAAGGAAGTCATGGGAGGATAAAAGTGATATTTTGATAATAGAGCCAAATTATACTTGAAAGTGAAATTTAGTTGAAATATACGAATTATTATGAAATTGCATTGGTTTATTAGGATTAAACAACTAGTATAGAAATACTAGTCGGGAATGTAAGTTCAATAGTTCTTGGGAGCTAATCCCAAGATATTGGAGTTAAATAACCTTAAAGGATATTTTTAAGGTGGACTTTATGAAGTCAAGTTACATTAGGAGTAGGCCTTAAGGGCTACTCAAAATGGATGGAACCTAGACTAAGAAGCGGTTTAGGGATTAGATGACGTGACTATGAGCCGAGCTCTAGCACGTGGTAGTATGACTATGAGCCGAGCTCTAGCAAAATGTAGTATGACTATGAGCCGAGCTCTAGCAAAATGTAGTGTGACTATGAGCCGAGCTCTAGCACAAATTAGTATGACTATGAGCCGAGCTCTAGCAAAATGTAGCGTGACTATGAGCCGAGCTCTAGCACAAATTAGGATGACTATGAGCCGAGCTCTAGCATGAAGGAGTGTGAATTTAATATAAATAATAGCACCCTAGATTAGGGTCTTGGAAATTGAAACTTTGATTATACTTAGTATAGTTGTCATTGTACTTGTCAAATGCTTCCAAGTACTGACCTCCCCTTCACGGGGGAGGCCACCTCACAGTTTCAGGTAGAACTTGAAGGTTGCTACCACCGCCCGTTGCTTCGGGAAGATCAAAGGAGGGAGACGTGGTTCGTGCTTCTTCCGTTCCTGTTTTGAAAACATTTTAAATAATGCTCATGGATATTATTTTTAAATATTTATTTAGGGCTTGTATGCCCATGTTTGCCAAAGTGTGGCATGCACACTTGTATTGAATGCCTCCGTTGCTTTAAATGAATATTTTACATTATGCTTGTTTATGGATGTACTATGTGTGAATGATATTCCAGACGCCTTGTATAGTATGGATGTGTTGGACTGCGGTTGACTATTCATACTGTACGGCGGGTTGTTGACGTGTCCGGTTAGGTCCGGGGCGTGACAAACCTTGCAAATTTAACAAAACATAGTAAGAGACTCAAGATTCATGGACAAGAATGCAAGTGTTCTTCATTATTTCATCCGCTTTTCGAATGAAGTATAATACAGTAGTATAGAATATAATTATAAATAAGGAATACCTGGATTGGTTTACAAGGTTGAAACATTTGAGGGCATGATATTTGTTCAGGTACGCCAACCCGGCGCCTCCTTTTTGGATTATCAGTGACTTCCAACCAAATGTAATTATCAATAATCGGATGTTTAGCCCGATCTAGCCCATATACTTCTTCCATTCGCTTGCGGTATTGTGCCTAATATAAAATAAAAACAGTTTTACGCAAGTTCACTCACCAAAATAAATTGCAGCAACATTAACGATGATTGTTTGAACACAAATAACCTCAATAACTTCATTCACCAAAGGTAGTGAGTGTTGAGGTTTGGTCCCGTAGATCCGAAAGCCCAACACACGCTTTGGATATTTAAGGATCTTGGTCTTGGTATAAAAAGGTGTATAAAACATAAAACAGTGAATTTAGATCTACTCAGAAGCTAATTGTATTATGTAATTCTGTTATTACAATGAAACTGCCCAAACAGTAGGTCAGTATGAGTTTAAATACAATACAAGAGAAACGATTCTATTGCTAAGCTTTGAGTCTGAAAATGCCAACCCTTTACAATGTATTCAACGCAGGTATTTATACTAAGAAGGGATATGTGAGATGGACACGTGGCCAATCCCAGTTGGTTGTTGCCTTTTCCGCCTTTGTACCCATGCTCCCACTTGTTCGTGGCATAATTCAACATTAAATGCGGTTCCCACTTGCTGATTCCTCGGTCGGGCACCCCGTTCGGAGTGCGGGACCCCTTTGTGGGTGTTTCAATGCCATCCCTCTGTTTAATGGGTTCAAGTGGATAATTCTACCCGGATGCTGTTCAGGTATCCCCCGTTCGGGATGTTTGGGGCCTTTCCGATTGCGTTGGGCTTCCTGTTTTCTCTGGGGCTTCTTTATGCTTTGGGCAGGGGGTATTGGGCTTGGACCCAATATCCCACATGTAGTATTAACTATTAAATCACGCCCACATACGGTTTAAGTTTTTGACTTTTTGCCCCAAAAAAATACTTCAATTGTAGTCTAGTTTTGTTATTACAAACATAAAATACTTTTTTAGTCGAGTAATGTTTTTAAATACTACCAATCATCTAACATATATAACAAATCATCTCTAGTTTTGAAATAACAAACTTATAACTAAAAGAAGGTGTAGCAGTTCTATTTAAGTACTTTATGTATGGTTGGAGTTATAAAAGTAACTCCAACCATACATTTTTTCTTATTATTACATAATTCAGCACGTAAAATCAAAATCTACGTGTTTGATGAAAAAGTTTGTCAAATAACCATGATAAGTCGAAAAACATGATCACTAAACAGACTTATAAACTTATAATTTTTTGTGTGCATATTATAGACTAATACTATGGACTAATTATGTATTTATTAAGGGAGTGTTTGCAAATACTTTTGTTTTTAAAAAAAACACTTTTTTGAAGTGATTTTGAAAAAGTAATTAGTAGTAAAAGTGATAGTGTTTGAGAAAAATGATTTTGAAAAGTAAAAATTGGTATTGTTATAAATACCAATTTATAAATAAAAAGTTCTTTTGAGCCAAAAGTCGAACTTTTGGTGATCAGTTTTGTCATTCAATATTACTTGGTGTTTTTATAAATAGGAAAAATTGAAAATAATAATCCTAACTATTGCCGATCCGCTGAAAATAATCCCAACTATTGATTATTTTTGTATAATCCCAACTATATAGACTATCCGCCAATAATGGTCCATGACCATATATTACCTCTATAAAAAGTGATTTTTAAATAGAAATTAAGCGTAAAAATTAAAAGTTGAGATTATTTATAGGGATTAGTTGTTATACTACCTCCGTCCCACTAATATTGAGACATGAGGAGGTGACACGGTTATTAAGAAAAGTGAGTTTTTGTGATCGATAAGGTACGAATTATTTAGAGCCACACAAATCTTACCAAATTTGGTATGAGACAATCTTAGTGGGACGGAGGGAGTAATAACAAAGGATTCATGCAATTGGGGAACGCTAAAAATGTTACTGATCAATCTTTTGTAAACATCCAATTCAATAAGCAAAAACACTAATTGATAGTATTACTTTAAAAATCAAAATTTTCACATTATAATTACTAATTGCTAACTATTAATTTACACATTATTGTTTAGAGAAAATGAGTATGAAATCATTAAATATGGAAACACAAGCTACACCTTATTATTTTATATTATTATAGAAGACTATTTTATTAATAATATAACTATTACTGCATTGCAAGACAATAACAATCATGTTTTTAATTAGACTAAAGTTTTATGATTGGGTCTGCTTAAGTTTGGTCTGATGACCTAAACTGATCTGGTGTGGTAAGTGTCGGATGTATGTATATTTTACTAACTTATTCTGATCTGATCAAGTCTATTGTATTTAAATTTGATCTGATTTGGTGTAGTTTCTTTTAATCTAGTGTGGTCTAGCTTATAATAGAAAACATTTAAATCAAAATATTGTAAACATTCTGATTTTTTCTTTGCGTTAAGTAAAGTCCCGCCAATTATGTATCACTATTATTATATTATAATAAAAATAATTATTATTATTATCTATCATCATCATTATAGATTATTTTGAATTGAAAATATTCCAATTACTCCAATATTCATGTAACTTTTATTTTTTAATGGGTATGAAACATTAAATGTGTAATTAGAGGGAAAAAACAATGTGTCACACCCTGTTACTTTATATTATTATAGATAGATAAATTATTTTGAATTGAAAATATTCCAATTACTCTAATATTCAAGTAACTCTTATTTTTAATGGGCATGAAACATTAAATGTCTTGTTAGTTTATATTATTATAGCTTTGGAAACGAATCTGCCAAGTCCATTTGGAGGTTAAGTTATAGTCTTATTATAAGCAGTGTTTGGGATTGTTTAAAAAAGCACTTTTTAGCTTTTGGCTTAAAAAATGTTGAAAAGAGTGTTTTCAAATGACAACTTCTGCTTAAATTAATCACTTAAAAGCTAAAAGCTGGAAGCAGGTAGAAGGGTGCTTTAAACTGTTTCTCACTTTTTCTATTACACAAAAAGTACTTATTTTACCAAACACTACCAACTTTTACTTTTTCAGAATCACTTTTTTCTCAAACACTACCAACTTTTACTATTAATCACTTTTCCCAAAATCACTTTAAAAAATCACTTTTTTAAAGTTGAAGCAATTGCAAACACTCCCATAGTCTTATTAGTCAGGTGAAAATCTCTTTGGAAACAAAAGAGAAATGAAAAGAAAAAAATTTAAAAGCTTTCGTTCATTCACTGTACTATTATACGCCATTTCCGAAATTACCAATTGCCCTGAAATGGCCTTCCGATTCGCAACCCGCCTCGCCTCTACTGTTGCCCGCTCCGCCACGGCCGTCCCCGCTACCATCTTCCACTTCAGCGCCACCTCTGCCGTCTCCAATCTTCCCAAACCCTATCAATTACTCTCCACACTCAAATCTCGATCCCATTCATTACATGCTCTCCCACATGGCACCCTATCTCTCCGATCCTTCTCCACAGTCAGTCGCCCGAGCCGTCCCCATCGATCAGCCAAGCCAGATATTGGCGCCCGAGCCAGGCAGATGCAGACGCGGCGTCTCTGGACCTACGCTCTAACCTTCAGCTGCGTTGCGGGATTCATCATCATCGTGCTCAACCAGTTCCAAGACCAGCTCGTTTTCTACGTGACCCCAACGGATGCGGTTGCGAAGTACAAAGCAAACCCTACCAAGGCAAAGTTCAGGCTCGGAGGGCTGGTATTGGAGGGGAGTGTGGGGCAGGTACCTTCCTCTCCAGAGATGGAGTTCGTTGTCACCGACTTATTGACTGACATTTTGGTCAAATACGAGGGTTCCTTGCCGGATCTTTTCCGGGAAGGTCATTCTGTGGTGGTTGAGGGGTTTATAAAGCCGTTCAGTGAGGAGATGAGGAAGAAGGATGAAGGGGTGGTGAGAGAGAACAGGTTGAAGGTCACAGAGAAGGCCAGAAGTGGAGATTTCTTTTTTGAGGCCTCAGAAGTGTTGGCTAAACATGACGAGAAGTATATGCCACAAGAAGTCGCTGCTGCCCTGGAGAAGAATAAGAAGTTGCTGGAACAACAACAGAATGAGCAAAGCAGCAGCGAAGCTATACCCACAGCATAAGGAGATTTTGATCATTGCATTGTCACAGGTCTGATATTATTTTTTGCTTGACATATGAACTCTTTTAGAACTTCCTTGGACATGTATGTTTATGGTTAATATACGCATAACAGATTAGATTGAGGGAAATCAGAGAGGAGATATAGGATTATTTGAGTTGATAAACCATCTGATACACGGGATTATTTAGTTCCTATTGTTGGGTTGATCCATTTTTTGTGTTCATTCTATAGATTGTATTGTCTACCCACAATAATTGGGGGCTACAAACTGAGATTGGCATGGTGGTGAATAAATGTTGGATTTTTTCATTTAATAGAGATTCTTGGGAATGGCTGTTTTTATTCAAAGAAATGCATTCAGGGATGGTGCCGAGGTTTTCATTGTGGGGTGAGTTAATCTTTAAACAATTATAAGTACCGGGTATATTAATGAATTGCAGCTCATGGTTAAAAATGTGAGCTCCTCCTTAATTGATATTGAGCATATTTGATGGGTATGATGGCACTATGGCAAGGTGGACGGTGACTAGAATAAATCTTCTTGTCTTTGTTCTTACGAAAGAAAAGAGATGTTCTATTCTGAAAAAATGCGTTCCGAAAGAGAAATGCCCTAGGATGAGTAATAGCCTTGTATTTTTCTGTTTTTCCAATGCAAGGTTGAGTATGGAAGGTTGACACTTACTATGTAGACATGTAGTTATATTTTGTTTTTAAGTTTACTTTTAGTAATATTTTTGGACAACCTCCATTATTTTTTAGGCTGTTCCCATACTTCAGGGTGACTACTAAAAGTATACACAAGAATGCTTAGATTTATAGTATTAGTATATTGATCAAATTTTGGAGGGTGAGGTCACAATGGAGCAGCTGCCACTGCCAGCCCCCCTGGGCTTGTCCCTAAGTGCTAAATACATTGATGGCTACTATCATCGTTTAAATAGTTGAAGAAAAAAATAAAATTCTTTGTAGTGTTCGACAGGCTAGGGGAGGAATATGCTATTTGTTGTGAATGATCAATGGGACATTCAGATGAAGTCCTGAAGATAGTTGGTGTTCATGGTAGTGTGCTAGGGTTGGGCTATTCCACCTTTTGAGTCCTAGTAACCGTGGTACTTGTGGAAGTGTGATACCTTGTGCCTCTCCCTCCCTCCCTCCCTCCCACACTTTTTTTAAGGCTATGTTTGGATCCCGGAAAATGCTAGATAAAGGAAAGGAAATGTCTAGGATAATTCATAAGAAATGAAATAAACTCTTAGCGTTTGTATGATAAAAGTTGATTCTAGAAAAAGAATTTGAACAACTAACAAACTTGAATTTAATAAGTTCGTATCAATGGTTTATTTTCCTCAACATTTTCTTTCCTATCAAACTTCTATGTTCTCTCCTCCCTGTTTACTTTCCCTACCATTTCTTGAGGAAGAGGTTTGCTCGTGCTGGAAGATGAAAGTACTCTGTTCTTGTGTGGCAGTTTTTTTCATTGCTAATGGAGGAATATATGGGAGTAATAAATGGGAAACTGGAAAAGGGAATCAACCAACAGTTGGTAGAAAATCGTAACGGCAAAGAGAATAGAACAGAACAAATAAAATAGGGCAAAGGAGGTGGTAGGGTTGGTGCTCTCATGTAGAGCAACAAGAGTTATAGGCCTATTAGCTACAGTTTTTTCTAAACCAAATTCTGCATATTTCAGCTATAGTGAGTAGAAAATAGCCAACCCCCAAACTATGTTGCACCGATACTTCACTTCGATGCCGTATCCGCGTATCCGATACGTATCAGTATCCGATACTCACCGATACCCGTCCTGTACGTATTGGGTCCGTATCCGTAATTTAATAAAAGTATCGGGCTTAATTTTAAAAATACCGATACTTCCGATACCCGTATCCGTGAACCGATACGCGTATCTGAACCTATAACCCCTCATTTTATACACGACATGACGAAAATTTAGTAGCCAACCAAGCGACCACAACATGTGGAACATTGATAAAGATGGTTTCGGGAGTATGAAAAATAATGGAATACTATAATTTGACATTTCATTGCTTGATGATATTTAATTGAAACAAGACTTGGATGTAAATGCAAATAGAGAACAAAAAAAATTATTTGAATTTAAATCAAAATATCAATACTTTAGTTTTTTAGACTAATCTTTGAAACTTTATTATAATAGTTAATTTTTTGTACTATTATTATTATTATTTTATTTATGAACCCCTGAATTATATATATTTGCAAATTATACCCTATATTTTTATTATTTATAAATATACCCCCGTACCCGTATCCTATAATTTTTGAAAGTGCCGTATCGCCGTACCCGTATCCGCGTATCCGCGTATCGGCGTATCCGTATCCGTGCAACATAGCCCCCAAACTCTTTTGCGAATAAGGCTCTGACGTTGTTCTTCAGTAGAAAAAAGTTGGGGCCTTGAGTTTTATGGTGGGACAGTGTTTTTGATTGTAACGGGACTCAAAATCATAGAATGATGAACAGAAAACAGCTTAGCCAATCTCAAGTCATTTGAAGCTCGTGGCAAAGAGATTGGTAGCATCTGAGTTGCTCTAGTTGTTTGCTCCTTAAATCAGACCTGCCCGTCAAGTTCTGAGGTCCGAACCAGTAGTCCACTTGACCCTAAGTGAAAGTGTGACAAATTGACGATTCTTGGAGATATGAAGATTGATTGAATCAGCGCCACATTGAATGATACTTCTGTGTATTCTTTCTTAGTTGCAAGTATTGGTCTATTAATATACGAGTAGATATGAATTTCATATTGATGATTTACCATGATTAGAACTTAGAATCACAGCCCTCCTACACGGCTATGCGCCTATGCCCAATATGCACTATGCACAAGTCGAGGGGATCAATTTACACAAGCAGGGACGATGTTTACATTATTATTCCACGTGTTAGAAATAATTCATTTCATGGACTATTTCTATCACCATTTTTAAATGTATTTTTGTACAATGGAAATAATTTTCATCATTTAGAATGGAGCCAAAGACTCACTTTTTTTTGGCTTAGGAATATGATGAAATGAAGCAAAATGGCTCACTAAAGTGTATGCACTTCTTTGTTATTGCAGCAGCCAATCCATGCAATTTTCGACGCGATTTTCACTATAGGTCATCCGTAGTCATGGACCCGGGCCGGGCCGGTTTCGGGCCGGGCCCGTCCGGGCTTTTTTTGGGAAGGAAGGCCCGAGACCGGCCCGGGTAGCCTCCGGGCCGGGTTCGGGCCGGGCTGGGCCTCTGGTTTGGTTATTTTTTTTTTGCTTTCCTAACCCCCCCCCCCCCCCCCACCCTCCCAAAACCCCCAAACCCCTCCTAACTATCAAGCCCAATCCGGGTGTATCCCAAAAAATGAAAAAAAAAAATCAAATAGGCCCGGGCCCGATCCGGCCGGGCCGATTCGCCAAATACAAGGCCCGAGCCTGGACGCCCCCCCCCCCCCCCACCAGGCCTAGCCCGGACCCGAGAACCGGGCCGGTTCCGGTCCCGGGCCGGACGGCCTGAATCGGGTCCATGACTAGTCATCCGGAAACAATATATTTGTGCTTTAGTACATGGGTAAGACTACATACACCTGATCCTCTCTTACTCCACAGTAGGTGGGAGCCTTTGCGACACTAAGATAATGATGATAATGATGATTAATGAAGTCATGGCTTAAAGCATGTACAATATTCCACACATGGCTATTAGACAAAGAAAATGGATGCTCGAGCAAGATTGTGAGCAAATGGACTGTCGCGCAAAAGCAATAGAAATGTTGTTAAAGTTATTCATTAAATCTCTAGCATCTTTCCATTTACTTTCTACCTTCATTAATGCTTGTATTTTGCTTCTATTATAAATAAAGCTTTCTTTACTTAAAAAAATCTCTAACATCTTTCCACTATCAAGCCAAATTGAGACATCATACTTGACTTCAAGAAAGTTAATGGTTCTCCTTTAGTCACCTCAACGCCTCCCTAACCCCCCAGAATCTCTGCTTCCTTCGGTGAAATATCGGAGAAATATTCCCATCCCAAGGCCAAGCACCTGTATCACAAACTGATTAATCGTATTTGAAAATCCAATCGTATTTTACAGTTTTGAAGCTTCAAGAAATCAACTCACCTTTAACCGTATATCGGTATATAAGCTATTTGTTCAACCAAATAAATCCTGTAGGACACGTTTACTTCATGGGTTACTAAATGGTGCTTATTAATTAAGACTCGCGTTAATAAGCGACACATAAAATAAGCAGTGTTGTAAGCTCATGTTTACTTCAAAGGATTTTTTTACACCATTTAACATTAAAATGTCCAAAATAACCCTATACATATATAGACACACAAACATTCATGAACACAAGTATATAATATAATATGTAGGGTCACCTCGTACGTGTACCCATACCTCTAATCTCTAGCCCGCCCCCTATCCACCCCAATTCCACACCCTTGACCCCTACCCCTACCCTTATCATGACCCTCTACCCTTACTCCCCTACAACCCTTCATACCCCCATACCCACTACCCCTAACACCTACCTTACTCGTATGGGTGGGGTTGGGGTGAGAATGAGGTAGGGTCAAGGAAGGGTAAGGCTAGGGGGTATGGGTATGGGGGTGGGATGTCGTAGGGGTGGGGTTAGGGTCGGGGTGGGACCGAGGTAGAGGCATGTGGGGGTAAAGGGGTAGGGTAAGGAGTTACGGGTGGGGGTGGGGCGGTGGTAAGGGGCTGGGGGTGGATGGGAGTTAGGGTGGGTCGGGGATGGGGTGGGGCCGAGGTAGGGGCATGTGGTAAGGGGTAAAGGGTAGGGGGTAGGGAAAAGGGGTATGAGGATGGGGTGGGATTGGGGTAATGGTCGGGGGTAAGGTAAGGGGTTGCGGGTAGGGTGGTGAGGGCTAGGGGGTAGAGTAGAGGGTGGGGGTAGGATGGTGTAGGCGTGGGTTTGGGGTCAGGGTGGGGCCGAGGTAGGGGCTTAAGGGGTAGGGTAAGGGGTTACGAGTGGGGGTGGGGTAGGGTGGTAGTAGGGGGTGGGGGTAGGATGGCGTACGATGAGGCCGGGTGGGGGTGGGGCCGAGGTAAGGGCATGTGGTAAGGGGTAAAGGGGTATGAGGGTGGGGTGGGGTAATGGTCGGGGTAGGGTAAGGTAGGGGTAATTGGTAAGGTACGAGGGGGTTAGAATGGGTAGGGTGGGGTCGGGGTAAGGTAGTGTAGGGTAGGGCCCACTGGGTGGATAGAGGTGGTAACAATAAGGTAAGGGTAAATTCTGGAATTGAAAAAGCTTAAAGTGTCGTCTAATTAATACATGAGGGGGGAGGGGGATATGCTTAGTAAGCGGCATTTTAAATATCTCTTTCGGTTAGTAAGCAGCTTTTTAAACAGCTTGCATGTTTACTTCACTTGTCTTACTAACCTAACTGTGAATTTAGCAGCTAAGTGAAAACGTTCGTAGATAGTTATATTATCGTAGATGTATATTAGGGACATTGTAATAGAAGTATTAGATATTTCCAACCATTTTGAAACTATAGTGTCATATCTTATGCACTTAAAATCACATTCTAAATATTTAGAGCAATTGTCAAATACGAAGTATATATCTAGTCCATTAATATGTAAAAAACATTAAAACATCAACATTACTGTGTTACGTACTCCGTAGTCGGTAGTTGGTACTTGGTAGTACTATATTTGTTATCTAG